TGCGCCCGCTACCAATTATTAAGGCCTCTATATTAAAGTGGTTTCAGGTTTAGGGTTTAGGGCATGGAAGGATCCACCGCGACAAATGGGCTTTCGCAGGTTTGGAAAGTGGTGCTAGAAGGATGTCCATGGCGATGGAAATGGCCTGAACCCTAGACTCCCCCACTACCCAGACCCGACACCCTCACCCCAAAGGTTAAGGGTTTAGAGTTTAGGGTGAACCTCACTGCCTGACCTTGTACAGGGCCTACCACTTGCATGTCTTTGGGTTCGTTATAACATAAGCATCGTATCAGACACACCCCCCAGCTTTAGTCTAGTATAGGGGCCTAAATAATTACCAATGCAATTTTGGGGGTTCCTTACAAGTATAGTATAATGGGCCCCAAAACTCTATTCTACGTATTAAGGCCCCTTTTTTGGTTGCTCAGAAAGCCTGGGCCCTGACATCTCCTGGTGAACCCTTTGAGCCCAGGTAAGAGCCTTATATACCTGACAGCCTCATTTTTTTTGCGGGGGTAGCCTTATATACCTGACAGCCTCATTTTTTTTGCAGGGGGTTTTTGGGCACGTGGTTAACGACTTTGAGGCGCTCATATGATAGGAACGGAGCTCATTTTTTCAACGCCCTGAGAGTTTATGCTCGAAGGTTTGGGGGTTTGGCTCGAGGGTGTCGGGTTGAGGCTTCGGGATTGAGGTTCCGGGTTGTGGGCTTGGCGACTGGGTTTGCCCAGAGAACCCAATGCCCCTTAAATAAGGAATATACCTTCAATTATCAGGGGCCTTAATATTATGATATAAGGTATATTCCTTAATTACGGGTTAATACTACAATTTAAGGTATATTCCTTATTAAAGGGGTATTGGGCTCTCTGGGCGTGGATTGGGCTTGGGTGTCGAAGGTTTCGCGGTTTGGCGCTGGGGGTTTGAGGCATAGGCCGGAAGTAGGCTCGGGTTTGTACTCGTGTTGTTAGTCTGATAGTCTTGTGCTCCAGGTCCGCAGGCCCAAATCCCTCAACCCGAAATAGTTTGAGCGAGCATCATAAGCACAAAGTCCAAGTGAGCATCATAAGCACAAAAGTTTGGCACTTTCAGGACGAACAGATGTTCGAATTATGGTTAGGTTTTCCGTATATGAGTCTCTATAGTTTAGGTTCTATAGCTAGCTACTGCAGTCCAATATGCCCCAGAGCCACAACCTGATTCGTAAGGCCTTCATGTCCGGCCTAGGGAGTCTCGACGTCCTACAACTCCTAGCTTTCTTGGAGGGTTTAGGGTTTCGGGTTTCGGGATATATCCGAAGCAAGAAGTCCGAACCCCATGGAACGAGAAGCCCGGGACCAACGGTCTTAAACACTCCGGCCCCTGCAACCAGGGTGCTGGCGACTCTGTCCAAAAATCGTTAGGAAGGTGGGTGGTTGTCAAAATCATGGTCCCTTTTTGGGTCCCTAAAAAAATACGGCACCTAATATTTAGGGTACCCAAAAAGGGACCCTAATTTTGACAACCACCCAGGTAGATCTTCGCAGTGCATCCTAAGCGAGCCCGGAGTTTACAAACTGCTTGCCGAAGGAATTTACCCCGAACCGCAGGGAGGATCCACCTATGATTGAATGAGTTTCCTTCCCGCTCACGGAAGCTGTACGCACTTTGACGGATTCGGACGTGGCCACATGTAAGACGGGAGCAGACCCTAAACCCACTGCCGAGAAAGCACTGAGGCCGTGTCCCTAAACCCTAATCCCCAAACCCTGAAGCCTAAACCCTGAACCCTTTAAACCCTAAACCCTAAACACTATCCGCTAGACCCTAAACCCTATAAATCCCTGACAAAACCATATAGATCCCTTTTAGAACCCTATAGATCCCCCCTTAACCCTAAACCCAATAGATCCCTTGTAGGAAAGTTCTACCAGAACCCTAGACGGGTTTAGGGTTTAGGGTTTAGGGTTTAGGGTTTAGGGTTTAGGGTTTAAACCCTAAACCCTAGACCCTGAACCAAACCCTAAACCTAGACCCGAAACCCTAACCCCTAAACCTCAAAGGACACTGGACGTCTATGGAATGCCGGCCAAAGTCCGCTACGTGAAGCCGTTGAACTTGCTCTGCTCCCCACCGGCTTATGATACGTTGGGTTTAGGGTTTAGGGATTTTTTGGTTGTAGGGTTTAGGGTGTAGGGCTTTGGGTTTAGGGTCAGGGTGGAAGAGTTGCAGTCAGCTACCTTCAACGTTCCTATCGCTATCTGCCCACCTGTAGATCCAACCGTCTGGTAGGCGCATTTAACCTTAGCATACTTGGCAAGTTGGCGAAGCTGCCTCATGGTGAACTCATTTCTGTGGAACGGCCCCGAAGTAGGATTACTAATGGCTAGTACGTTTACTGGCTCGTACTTTTCCTATTCCAATTCCCATTCCTACAGTTACTATTACGACGACAAAAGTCGCAGAGAGAAAATGCCGTGACAGCTTCAGGCTTCTACCTCAATTGCATGGTGCAGCTGCTTGGAATGCAGGAAGAGAAATCATGGACTCCCCTAAACCCTAAACCCTAAACCTTAAGCCCTAAACCCTAAACCCTAAACCTTAAACCCTAAACCCTAAACCCTTAGCCCCACAGCCCCAAGCCCTATGTCGTCTCTTTAGTCTCCCATGACTAACCCCGCTCCTTTCATAAGGAATATTTATCGGTTTAGGGTTTAGGGTTTGGGGTTTAGGGTTTAGGATTTGGGGTTCAGGGTTTAGGGTTTGGGGTTTAGGGATTATTATAGTAGGAATATTACTCCGTAGGTCTGCCATATGGGAGTTTTCTGAAAAGAAGGGGTACCTTATTTTGGGGTCCTTATAATAACGATCCTACTATTTAGGGTGCTATATTAGGATCCCATTTTTGCGGAAACCCCCATGTATACCAGTAGTACTCTGATATCCCTCGTCTGAAGTACCGAAGCCTATAAACCCCAAACCCTAGTTGTTGAGGTCCCCAAAATAGAGAGCTGGGTCCGATAATCAGTCTGTTCTTGAGGTTCGGGCAGGGGACACCGCATCTTCCAGCCTAGCATGAGTTCTTGGTGGCTGGAGAATGGGCTTTCATTACCCTGGCACCCTAAACCCAAAACCCCTAACCCCAAACCCCTAAACCCTAAACCCCTAAGCCCTGAAGCTATGCCCTAAACCCATCAACTCCGACCCTGACTTCTGGAACATGAACTAGAGTACTCGTATGGAATTGGAAATTTCTACACCAAATTCTCGAAAACAACCTTCTGTATCGAAAACTCCTAGGTTGGCATATAGCCGCTACTTCGGGTTCAGGACTTGGGAAACTAACCCTAAACCCCTCAACCCCTAAAACCTAAACCCCTAAACCCTAAACTCTAAACCCTAAACCCCAAAACCCAACTAAGTTTTGAGACTCGAAGTAGCCGGGAAAGGAAACCCTACACCTCAAACCTAGCCCTAAGGGTCCATGTGCCTTTTTAGGCTTCCTCTAACCCTGACTCTTTTGGGCCCGAAGAGCCTATTATGTAAGGCTTTTGTCTATTTTGATGCTGAGGGTAAGGGTTCCTTTAAGGGCTCTATATGGGTTTAGGGGTTACGGGTCCACGTGCCCATGCAAATAGTATATACTTTGGCCCCGAAGTACCTATATAGGGACTACTTTACGGCCAAAAAAGTATGTGTATGCTATTTGGGTACATGGACCCTTTGGGTAGGAAACTCGTAAATCCAGGAAACTGTGTGATGTTCAGGATCCTATGAGGTAGCCTGAAGAACGAACTAGAATAGAGGTAGGGTTTTGGAAACACTGAGGCTGGCCTATGGCCTCTACCTGCCTGTTGCCCCACTGGTGCCCTGCAACGCCTACGGCGCGGCCGTTGGAGTCGTCAGCACGCTGGTTTGTTGGTGGTTCGCCCGTCGCGAGGCGTGGGTTGAAAGAAGGGTTTAAATGGGTTTTTGGTTTTCGAGAAGGAAGGGTCATGTTCATGGGTTTCGAGCTGCGACTAAGCACCCAAAATCGCCAATCCCGAAAACTCCTCAAACCCTAAACCCGAACACCGTCAAGCGCTACGATTGTCTCATCAATAAAGCTTGAAGATTAAGAGTTTCTGTCGGGGCTGAGAAACTGAGAGTTGCGGCAACGGCTTCAGTAGCATGTTGTAGGGTCACAGTTAAGGGCTGTGTACCCTAAACCCTAAACCCTAAACCCTAAATAAACCCTAAACCGCCTATGCTATAGGTGTTCTGGGGTTTCTACAGGGGTTCATAAGGGTTCGCAGGCGGTCGCCGTGGCGGGCAAATTGGCAAATGGTTCTCCTTTTTGAAGCGATCCGCCACCTGTATTTAATTCGTACGTATGTGTGCATCTCAGTATCTATCTATATACATATATATATATATATTATGTAGTTATATATAAGAGACATATTCATATCTAGATGTGTATGTATGTACATGTGTGTATATATATATATATATGCACGTACGCGCATACATACATCTGAGTTTCTTTGCAGAACCAGGTCAAACTTGTTATACTGTTACTGCTGGAGTGGGTCGGCTTCGTGCGAGCCGTACAGACAAAGGCCGGTTCCAAGAGCTCCAACCCACGAACCCAAACCCAACTACCCGGTACCCTAAACCCTAAACCCTAAACCGTTTAGGGTTTCGGGGTTTAGGGCTTTAGGGTTTTAGGGTTTAGGGTTTAGGGGGGTTATGGGCACGAAGAGGTCACACAGGGTTAAAGGAACACAAAGCCATAGACACGTAAGCGCCAGAAGCCGAAATCCCCCATTCCCAGAGCCCAAGATCTTCGTTCAAAGATCCCCAAAACCTTCTCTAAGAGACGGTTTAGGGTTTAGGGTTTAGGGTTTAGAGTACTTCTCTAAACCCAAAACGTCCTAAACCCTAACCCCAAGGGTCCAAAGGACCCAATAATAAGGTACTTCGGCTTCTGATAGTAGTTATGCAGGTTACTATTCGGGAGAGTATATGATTATTAGGTACTTGGACCCTTAGGGTAAGCCCTAAGCCCTAAATCCTAAACCCTAAAGCCCCAAGTCCCGAAACCCGAAAGAGACCGAGCAGAAGACTCAAGCCCCCCGAAGCCCTAAAGTCCTAAAACCATAAACCCTGAACTAAGGCCTTTTTCTCCCAAAACCCGTAAACCCGTAAACCCCTAAACCCTAAACCCGTAAACCTAAAGCCTAAATCCCAAAACCCTGAGACCCCTGAATGTCTGCCAATGTCGGCTTAGGTGGCTTGGTCATGTGGGTCGTATGCCGGATCATAGACTCCCCAAGCGTGTTTTGTTTGGTGTTCTCCCTACTGATGTCGGTCAAGCTAGAAAGCCTGGTCTTCAGTCTGGGAAACGGTTACGTGACTCCTTTGCCAAGGATCTTTCTGCAGCAGGCATTGATAGGCAGGGGTGGTTGCAGTTTGCCAATAGTGGGGAAGGTGCTGCGCTTTGGAAACAAAAAACAGCGGGTGTGGCGTTGTGGCACAAACCACTGGCGGTTATTCCAAATGTCCCGCCCCCACCTAGAACCCAGCTGCCCAGGGGAAAGGTGTTCCAGTTTAAAAAGAGGGTAGGGCATGAACAACGCTTGATACTGGCTTCTGACCGTCTTCGAAATGAACTTGCGTCAAGAAGTGCGTTCCTGAGGTTGGAACTGGCGTCTGGGGGTCGGGAAGCATTGGCGCAAACGCTGACGACCGAAGTTCGCGAAAGGGTACGCGCAAATCCGGAGGTGGATATGGAGGAGTTGTGTTGTGATTTGGTGGAATGTAGTTTTCAGGACGCGGAAACGGAGGGTGATCTCGCCATGTTTCGGTTGTTGGTGTCCACTGTTGTACTTTCCCTACAAGCCAACGCGACGGAGGTCTCGCGCTCTTCTCATACCGGTGTCACTCCGCGAAGAGTTTCTAGAAAGATGCGCCCTCCGGCATGGTACGTTAAAAAACAGGATGATGCCAAGGCTATCTTGGACGGCATTGCGCCGCCTAGAGTGCGTACTAAGTATTGGAATCTACGGAATGTGCCTAAGACCACTGATGTTTCTGATGGTGACTACGTCTGTGATTTTCCTGGATGTGGGCGTAGGTACACAACTAAGGGCGGCCTTTCGCACCATAAGTTGATAACGCACAAGGTAGGTACTTTTCGGCAGGCAGGTTTCGATTGTAAGCTCTGTCCGCGTTCTTTCGAGAGGGAAATGTGGCTTACTCGGCATGTCAACTATGATCACGTGCTTGCTATCCCTTTCATGTGCCCGTTCTGTCTAGGTTATTGGCCTGGCGCTCCTAGCCAGGTTGCATATCGCGGCGGACCATAGGCTCGAGGAAAAAGACTTTCCTGCCCCTTGCGCATTGTGCATCCGAGATCACCAGAGTAGCGAGACT